AGAACCACTGCCAGTTCCCCATGATAAGTCATTTCAAGAGTTGGTTGGGACAAAAAATTAATATTGCAGTAAATAAGTGCAACGGAAAACAAAACAAAGCAAAACAAAAAACAACAACAAAAAAGCCAACGGTGCTTTAACTTATTTCATCTTCAAAACACTTCCATAATGGACACAAATGCTCATTATTATCATCCAAGAGAAGCTTTAAAATAGGAACAAAATGTCATGAATCTATCATACCTTAGTATGGAAAAAGTCTAAATGGTCAGGAATTATATTACTCTGAAAGCCATAAGAAACTTCAAACAAAATCTAGAATAATAGTAGCAATACTGGAAATGAGACTTTAAAAGGATCTTAAGAAATCACCTAGTCTGACTCTTTCCTCCATGATATATCTACAGTGCCTACAAAACTATGTTCAGTAGAGATTTTCTCTACTATTGCATAGCTGACAATCTGTGCTCAAGACAATCCACATATCCCAGATAGTACTTTTTAGACATGACAATCCAGGAAGGCAGTTTTTAAGCTGTTTGAGGCAACTGCAGCATTATAACGTGAAATATATGCAAAAGTTTGAGAGCTTGTTATAACTGCAAGAATAATTAAATGATTGCATACTGTAGTTGAAACATAACCATTGGAGCTCAGGCTGCAAAAAACAGTAATAAGTTTTCAAATTTTATCAGCACCAAAGGATATTTCCCATTGCTCAGTTAAAGTCAGTTTAAGAGAAGATCTGTTCGAGAAGACAGAACATCACTACGGAGGTAAATAGGTGGTATAAAACATCCTACATTACTAACATGGAAATGTCATAACATACACAGCAAATAGTGTATAGTTAAGAATATACATATAGCTTGCTGTTTGAAAATTATTTCCTATCTCTCCATTGATCATGTATTCTTTAGATGCCATGTTAGATGATGGCTAAAGCTAAGAAACAAACGTTATTATCTGCATTAGGAGAAGTTTATGAGAATGTTTTGCCTTAGCATCTTCCTTCAGACTACACGTAAGCACAATAAGCATTTTTTTTTTTAGCAGAATAAAGTAGGTGAGACAGCAGGAGCTGTATCTACTGACAAAGAGAAGCAGAGGTAAATGATCAAAGAGATTTGTCTAGAAGATGAATCATAGAACATGGATTGGAAAGAGCAGCACAGAAGAAATGTTCAGTATTCAGAAAATATCTAGAGGTAATATTAGAAATAATCAGAGAAGCACATAGCCACTTAGCTAAACAAGGAAGCAATGGGGAACTAGAAGACAGGTAGGAGTAAAACAGGGGAGGGGGGTGCTGGAGATAGATAAGTGGAATATGGGAACATCCAGGTCATTTTGGGAGCAGTAGGTAGCCAAGATTATGGAGAACATGCTGAATTACTGGTGAATATGAATAGGGGTCTTTTGACAAATTGTTGTGCTTGGCAGCATTATGCATTTAGGAACTTATGTTTTTACAAGCTCTGGAAGTGTCAGATCAGCATTTGAAGATAAAAGAATTACAGGTCACACAATGCAGTGATAATATGTCTACAAATTGTGTACACATCATGTACATCTGCTGCTGCTATTCCAGATCAACGCCTCTGATATTTGCTGTTTATTAGAATACCTTTAAATCATGACCCAAATAAACACTGTTAAAAATGTACGTGACAAATAAAATAGCCTGCAACTGTTCATTTTAAATCTTAGATTTTCATGATCAGTTCTCTGTGGGCTGGAGTGTGATTTGTTAACAATTGACAATTAATTGTTGTAACGGGGGGCAAAAAAATGGCCAATGGAATTTCATTACTGTGAAAAGATAGAAAGGAATAGCTTGATATTCGGATTACATTATTGGAGAACCAACATGGGTTTTGGACTTTTAAAAGGCTGTAATTTTTTCCCCAACAAGTTATTTCCTAAGTAAAGATATTTTGTAATTTGGAAGAAAAATGTAGTCAGAAGTCACTGTGATGTGAAAAGTACAAAAAAAAATATTGCTTTGATAGTCTTTTTTTTGTCAGTGTATAATGTTTTTAATACTGTAAGGAGAATCAGCGCAAGTTATAGGCTAAGACTTGCAACACTGTACATTGCCAATTAAACTAAGGTAGGTGAAAACTTGCCAAATTTCTGAAAATCAGCCTCATGGTAGTTCAATTTCTACTTTTGATTTCTTAGATGTTCTTGTTTTTACCCTTCCTCTCATACCTTAGCTGGACGGGCTGTCTGTTGCTAAAGCTGAATTGCATATACTTTCTTCAGCTGAGGAGTAGTTGTTGCACTTGTGAGACTTTGTCTAAACTGACCAGTAATTCCGAACATGTGGTAGCTAAGAAACATTGCTTCTTTGCTGATTATTGTGTCCTACATCAGGCAAGACCATTTCTACCCACAAGGTGATAGCGCAATGAAACAAAAATTCCTGTTGAAAGTCTTATTTTCTGCTTATTTAAACAAAACAGAAACAGGAAATAGTAATACTTTGCTCTAGAACATTTCTAAATTGTAGCTATGTGGTAAACAGTAACTAGCTGTTGTGCACAAAAATCTTACATTTTTTTTTCCAGCCAAGCCAAAAAAAGTATTGTCTGATTTTCCCATTAAGTCAGATAATAATGAGGGAGTTTTAACTGGACATCTTGATAAAAAAGTGAGTAAAGACATTCACCAAGTAACCTAGCTCATTGTTGGGCTCAATGGTGCCAAATATGTGTATATATATATATACTATATATAGCACTACATATATATATATAGCAATATATATATATATATAAACCTCCTGGAAGCCCAAGCTGTTTTCCTGTCTGCTACAGACTATTATAAAAATTCTAGTGTTTTGATTCTACAGTTGTGTTTAGTTTTCTTTTGTTGCATTATTTTGATGTTAAATTACTCTTTCCTGTCTCGCAGTACTTTCAGTTCTGATGATTCTGAGGTCACACCAGCCAGTTTTCTTCTGCATGCCATAAAAACCTGCAGTATTAATGAAAGCTGAGATCTCCTGCCATAGAAAATGAAGATTTTAGAATAACTAATATTAAAAATCACAATGAAATCAGGATAGCTGGCAAAAGTCACAGCAAATAACTCAGAACAAAATGTAGCTACAGAAGTAGTTGCTGAAAATGAAGGATAAACTGGAAGAAACAAGCTTTCAGATTTTATTATGGATCTATGGTATTAACAATTAAATCAATTTATTTTTAATTGCATGAAGACAAAACACAGAAGAAGGCAAAAAGGTAAGCACATCAACAGAGATTTTTTGGTAACATATCAAGCCCAGGGAACTGGGCTTGTTTAGCTTGGAGAAGAGAAGGCTCCAGGAAGACCTCATTGTGGCCTTCCAGTACATGAAGGGAGTATATAAACAAGAGGGGAAATGACTGTTTACATGGGCTGATAGTGACAGGACAAGGGTGAATGGTTTTCAAATAAGAAAAAGAAGATTTAGATTAGATATTAGGAGGAAGTTTTTCACACAGAGGGTAGTGAAACACTGGAACAGGTTGCCCAGAGAGGTTGTGGATGCTCCATTCCTGGAGGCATTCAAGGCCAGGCTGGATGTAGCTCTGAACAGCCTGGTCTAGTGTTTGGCAACCCTGTGCATAGCAGGAGGGTTGAAACTGGATGATCATTGTGATCCATTTCAAACCAGGCCATTCTATGATTCTATGGTATCAAGGGAGGCGGCAGGCAAATGGGTGAGGCCAGGCTCTTCTCGATGGTGTGTAGCAGTAGCACAAGGAGTAATGGCCTAAAACTTGTATGTAGGAAGTTCCGTACTAACATGCAGAAGAACTTCTTTATGGTAAGGGTGATGGAGCACTGGAACAGGTTGCCTGGAGAGGTTGTGGGATCTCTTTCTCTGGAGACATTCAAAACCTGCCATGTGTTCCTGTGTGACCTAATATAGGCGTTCCTGCTAAGGCAGGGGGATTGCACTAGATGAGCTTTCCAGGTTCCTTCTAATCCCTGACATTCGGTGATTCTGTGATTCTGTAATCGGTATGGAGAAGAGACAGCAGCTATAAAAATGAAGATTTGGTAAAAAAAAAAAAAATACTCTTCACATCTTAGCCAGGATTCTGGCATTTATTTTTTTTTAATACATAATAATACAATTTTTTTTTAGCTTGTATTCCCTTCTCTTTCTTCTCTTCTCTTCTCTTCTCTTCTCTTCTCTTCTCTTCTCTTCTCTTCTCTTCTCTTCCCTTCTCTCTCTTCCTTCTCTTCCCTTCTCTTCCCTTCTCTTCTCTTCCCTTCTCTTCCCTTCTCTTCTCTTCCCTTCTCTTCTCTTCCCTTCTCTTCCCTTCTCCTCGCCTCTCCTCACCTCTCCTCGCCTTTCCTCCCATTTTAAATTTATCTTTTTCATTCTCTTTTTCCTTACGTCCCCATTCTCTCCCCTTTCCCTTTCCCTTGGTCTCCCTTCACTTCTCCCCCCTTCCCCCTTCCCTTCCCTTCCCTTCCCTTCCCTCTTTCCTCTCCTCTCCTCTCCTCTCCTCTCCTCGCCTCTTCTCTCCTCTCCTCCCATTTTAAATTTATCTTTTTCATTCCCTTTTTCCTTGCGTCCCCATTCCCTCCCCTTTCCCTTTCCCTTCAACTTCCTTCCCTTCCCCCTTTCCCCTTCCCTTCCCTTCCCTTCCCTCTTTCCTCTCCTCTCGTCTCCTCTCTTCTCCTCTCCTCCCATTTTAAATTTATCTTTTTCATACCCTTTTTCCTTCCGTCCCCATTCCCTCCCCTTTCGCTTCATCTCCCTTCCCTTCTCCCCCCCTTCCCACTTCTCCCTTCCCTTCCCTTTCCTTTTTCGTTTCCTTTTTCCGTTCCTTTTTCCTTTCCTTTCCTTTCCTTTTTCCTTTCCTTTCCTTTCCTTTTTCTTTTCCTTTTTCTTTTCCTTTTTCCTTTCCTTTTTCCTTCCCTCCCCTTTCCCTCTCCCTTTCCCTCTCCTCTCCTCTCCTCTCCTCTCCTCTCCTCTCCTCTCCTCTCCTCTCCTCTCCTCTCCTCTTCTCTCTCAAATCCTTTCCTCTTCTCTTCTTCTATCGTCTCCATCGCTGAAGGCAAAACTCTCTTATTCTCCTCCATGTCTCACTAGAAAAAGGAGAGTCTCAAGTTGTGACTGGGTAATTTTTGCCTCAAACAGACTTGGAGAGGCAAGCTACAATTGTGACTGCAGCAACAGCAAAGGCAGCAGTGCCAGTACCTGTCTGTGGGCCCAAGCAGACGGGAGAAGTTGTCAATCATGGCTGCACTGTGACAGCAGCTGAGGATGACCACTGCCTGGCACAGGAAGGGCATGAATAGGCTCTGCTGTGCAGATGACGTGCAGTTGCGCAGGATGTAGAGGATCGGTTGCACCTGAAAGAAGAAGGGGAGAAAGAATGACTTGCTGCATCCTGGACTCTTCAGGGCCTAAACATGGACATTCAGCACGTGAGCAGTGCCTGCTCCCTTGACATGCTGCCCAGGCCTAAGTTTAAATTTCATGCCAGCCACCCTGTCCAAGCCCTGCCTCTGTGCTCAGGCTGTGCTTCTTTAGCACAAGAGGCAAACGGCACAAGGCGTAGTGCAACAGCCAGTAAAAGTCCAAGACACATGGAAGAAAGTCTCTTACGTCCCGACAGATGTCCTTCCCGTGCATCTGCAGAAAGGTGGTCATCCACTTCCCAGCAGCACGCACACGCACTCCGTTGGCTCTCCGGATGGTCTCTTTGATGGCCAACATGAAGTCAACGGTGCGTTCGAGGGGGAAGTTTCTGCACACGATCTGCAGAGAAATGAGAAGCAGGAGAGATCCCATCATTGCTCTGCGGTAGCTCTTCAAAACATAAATGAGTCTTGAAGGCATTCTTAGTTCAGTAGTTTGCCGGTCATTCAGGCAGCAATCACAATGCTCCTGCTGTCTGTACCCTGCTGTTTTTATGGAAGACGGTTAAGCCTTCTCTCAGCTTTTGCACCCATGGTGTTTGCACACAAATACACACACACACACACACACATCATCGAGTCAACTCCTTTCACTGGGCGCCTGAAAGCCAGACATAGCTCAGAACCTCCTGCTACTTGCTGAGAAAAGCAGTCTCAGGGTGACAGCTCATTTTGGAAATGGTGTGAGAGGCTGGGGGCAGCATAGGGTCATGCAGAAGCCTATGCATAGAGATCCCACCACCTCTTTTTGGGTCCACTTACTCTTGCCATTTTGGATGAGGTCTGGAGCTGAGAGATGACACTGCAGGAATGCAGCCCCTCACACAGGCTCCTGATGTCACCTGTCTCACTAACTCTGTTGCTCGCTTTGGCTGGAAGGAGCACAGGGAGAAAAGGGAAGTCATGCTTCTGAAAATTGAACTGCTTTCCACAGGGGAGAGACAGAGGACAGGGTGGGTACAAGAAGAGAGAGCTGCGCACAGTGCCTCTCCGTCCTGTAAACAGGGCCCAGACCGTGGGGCTCTGGTAGTGCTAAAGAGGAGGGCAGAGGGCTAGAGCACGCCTGCTCTACTCACCTTGGATTTGGAGAAGGGAGCTCAGACAGGTGACGGCCAGCTGGCGGGATGCGGGCATAGGGTCGCATGTAAGAGGTGCCAGCAATCCCACCAAGGAGCCAAAGTGCTCGCAGACATCTCCTCTCTGCAGGGGTAAGAGGCAGGAACAAAGCTGTAGACAGCCCCAGCTCCCTCTAGCCTCTCCCACCTGTGCCTTCCCCATGCCGTGACACAGCATGCACAGTTTGGTGAAGCTCACCTTCCAGCTCAGGGGCACTGGGGAGGGAGCAGGGGGCATGCAATGGGGCTCTTTACTCACTTGAAGCTCTTCGCAAACAGCCAACAGCTGGGAGCAGGTCTGCAGGGCCCTCTTGCGCTCCCACACGTTTCCTGACGTCACCGATCTCTGCAGGACCTGGGGTAGAGCATCTGTCTCACTGAGGATGTCTTTTCTTTCCCTTCCTGCCACCCCTCTCCCTGTCCCTCCTTTCCCAGCACTTTTCCTCAAGGCCTGCCCTGTTGCTCCATGTGGCCTCCCACCTCACTGAGCACTGGCACTGCTGCTCCCACTCTTTGCAGACACTCCTACCTCTTACCCAAGAGCTTTTCCTCGACTGTCGCCTGCCAGGGGCTGGCTCCTGCCTTCCCCACTGCAAGGCCCATTTCTCTGCCCATTTCTGAGCTCGCAGTGAGCTGGCACGTCAGCAGGAGATTTCTCCCCCTCTGATTGTCCTCTCAGTCCCCAGATCTCTGTCCCCTCTATTGACAGGCACCATGCTTTCTCCCTTGTCCTACACATACTCACGTGGACTATGTTCTGAAAGAAGCTGCCGGTGGGCTCTGTCTCAAGCAGAACCGCCATGAGCCGGCCCAGAGCTTTCAGTGATCTTTGCTGAAGCTGAAAGCAGAAGAGGGCAGTGAGGTGTAGCATCACGGCTGCTGCCAGAGCATAGGTTGTGTGTGCTGAGGTAGGGTTTGAGCAAGAGGTAGCCGGGAAAGTTACGGGAGGTTACCTGCAGGTACTGCGCTGCTTGCTGTGACTTCCTGATCTTCACCATCACCTCTGCTGAAGGGTGTGTCACAATGTTCTTGCAGCACAGAACCAACATTTCACGCATGTCCTTGCTTTCGAAAGATGGCTTCAGCTTGCTGACAGGAGGAAAAAAGGAAGAGAATTCAGAAAGGCCCTTTACCAGTGCTCTCCAGACTGGTTCAGGCAACATCTGAGTTTCTCCTAATTGACAGCTGCAAAGCTAACACCCCCAGCTCATGCTGCTGAGCACTGTCTTCAGTTCCAGCAGCGCCCACCTCCTCCCTGGCAGCAGTGAACCACCTCCCGCTCTGAAGGGAAGGAGACCCCAGCTCTCTCTTCTCTTCCCTGCAGGGAACAAGAGCACCAGGGCCTTTCTCCCTGCCCAGAACTCAGCTTTGCTGGGCAAAACAGCCCAGCTTTCTCTCCTGTAGATGCGGCTCCTCACCCCCTGCCCTCTCCAAACCCTCAGGAGCTACCCAAAATGGGGACCACCATCCTGACTTGCAGCCCCAGACCTTACCTCAACTGCTCCAGGGCCAGAACCACCTTGAGGGGCACCGGGGAGACAGGGATGCCCGAGTAATACTTCTTCATGAAGTCCTGCAAGTCCCAGAGAGACACTGTCAAGGTGGGCAGGGGGCACACAAGAGCTGTTCCACCCAGCCCAGAGACAAACACAACTGTCACACACCAGCCACATCACTCCCACATTTCTCATGGAAGCACTGCAGGATGCAGCTGCTCCACAGCTGGTGCACCTAGCCCACTGCCCAGCCTCTGCCTGCCAGCACCCAAGGTCCCCACCAGCTGGAGACGTGTAGCTGGGGGGGAGACCTGTATGTCTCCAGGGAAGCGAGCCTCGTGGCACAGCCCAGAACTCCTCTGCAGACAGCCCTGGCTTTAGGCACTCACCATCAAGATCTCCAGCAGCTTGCACTTCAAGGAGGGATTAAAGAAGGCAGAGTCACCCACAGCGTGGAAGGCAGAGCTGAAGTCAGAGATGCTCTGCACCAGTGCGAGCTTGTTCTGCAAGTCCTGAGGCCCAAGAGAGAAGAACATTCTTTGAACTGTGGGAAGGGACAAGGGCTGCAAGGGGGACATGTGGGGGCAATGCTAAGGGAAGGGCTTGGATTTTCATCTGGGTACAAACAAGGTTCCTTGAGGGACCTTTGGAAAGAGAAGGCCCATCTCAGCATCCCCCCATGTGGAGGGGCTGCAGCTGGGCGCTCAGACATCCTGGCACGCTTTGAGCTCTCACCCGGCAGCTGCAGCTGTACAGCATCAGGATGTTGCCCACAATGTCTCCCTCCAGGTGGGCAAGCAGCTGCTCCTTGGAGGCACGCAGTGCCAAGCTGCCATGGGCGAGCATGAGAGCGCTGCGTGTGGCATGAGCTCTCCTGCTGTCCAGCTCCATCTGTGTGGGAAGAAATGCCTTGAGAAACTCGCTCAATGGTCCCCAGTGCCCCATGATGCACCTGGGCTCCCAAGGCAGGAGCTGAGAATAAGGCAAAAGAATGCCAAGATGGAAACCCATAATGCTTTACCTTCTTGCGCCTGGAAATCCTTGCATTGCAGCCTTTGCACAGCCTGGATGCAAACGTGGTGAGTGTGGCCAGGACTGTTTGGAAATTGCTCTCAGCAGCATGGCTGAGAAGCGAGATCATTCCCTGCACAAAAGAACAAGGGGCAGTTGGCACAGGCCTGAACCTACTGGCGTGGTCAACCATAGTGGCCGGGCTGGTCCTCGCCTGAGGAAAATGGCAGCAGTGAGGAGATCAAAAGGCCCAGAGCAGGACCAGAAGAAGTCCTCTGCCCCAGGGATAGAGTGGGGATGCTCGCAGAAGCTGGAACAGAGGAGAGTTTACCTGGGCCTCAGATGACTCCTCCATGTTTGCTTCCTCCAGGTGCTGCAGCAGCTTCTCCTGGATGAAGAGGTCTCCCTTACAGGCTCCCAGCACTGTGCCCAGAGCCTTGTACAGGAAAGACTGTATGGGAAGGGAAGGAAGAAGCTGAGATGTGGCAGCAGCCTGACCTGCTAGCAGAGAGCCAGGTGGGAAGGACCCACATTCCCTGGGAGTCGCTGAGAGCAGCTGCAGGGCCCAGGCAGTTTGCAGGGAAAGGTCCTCTGGGAGGTAGGGGTCAGGGGAGCAGTGTGAGCATCCCATGTGGGCAGAACACCAGCCGCAGCCGCAGCCCCAGCCCCAGTTGGGCACCTGCAGCTGCACCGCTGGGTAGAGCCAGGGGGAACTCACCTTTTCTCCAGAGCTGCTGGCAGAGCTGCTCAGCCGCTGGCTCAGCTCACAGCTCAGGGCCTCGGTCCAGGCCTCATCTTCTATGGTGTCCAGCGACGCCCTCAGGAACTGTTGGAGAACAGGAGAAGACAATGTTCCCTTGCCCTTTGCCTCTTCCTTCACTCCCAAGTGGCTGCAGTCTTCTGGGCAGAGGTGCCTGGAAGAACAGTCCCTCTCCCAGCTCCCCCAGCATTCCCTCCATTAAAGCCGCCTGCCGCTCTTCTCCTAAGACCCCCCTGGGCTTGGGACAGAGTGGAAGAGGCAGCGCCACAAAGGCGTGCGGCCGCTCCGCAGCAGCGTTGGAGAGGCTGTTCCTGTCCCACAGTGTCTCATATGGGAGTGGGGCTACTTGGGGCAGGCAAGCACTTCTCTGCACCGCGCCTCCCGGCAATGCTGTACCTTTAGCAGACGGTGCTCGAACTCTGCAGTGTCTGGGAAGCTCTCCTCTTTCCCTGCACAGCAATAGGAAGCAAAAACTTGGGATCAAGCCACAGAAGAAGAGCTGCTGCAAACTTGGCTTGGCCTGGGCACTCAACACTGCCAAGCTGGGACCTGCAGCCCCTCCACAATGACCTGTCCCTCCCCACAAACACTGTCCCCACAGGAACACAGAACTAACTGCTCCAGGACTGCTGTCTGAGGGGACATGAAGGGCCCATCTGTGTCCTGGAATGGGCAGATCCCCAGGGGGAAAGGTCCCCAGGCCTCAGTGCTGTCTCCCTGTAATGGGAGCAGCAGCAGAGCAAGCACTGGGCTGCAGACAATGCTTCCCCTCTGCCACACTGCAGAGATACATTTTCAGTTCACCCCTTCCCTGCGTCTGCCTCTCCCTCCCCACCAGCGCTTTACCTTCAAGGCACTGCAGCAGCAGGGGGATCTCAGTAGCCCAC